AGTTTTAAATTACTTTTTCACTTATTGATTTTTTACAATATGAGCTATATTAATTAATTATGTTTAAATTGAACTAGAACATTCCAACCTTTTTTTGTAAAAAGTCTGTCTAGCTATGAGGCATGCATTGTTTACACACACTGCGTGGCAATTTAAACTTATTTAAGGTAACTTTAAAGTCTTAAAAAAACTGTTTTAAGCAATTGACCTAATATCATGCAAAAATCAACACACGCGCATAAAAATAATATCAAATTATAGTACTCGAGTACAACTAATTACCTTTCGCAATTCTCACAATATTAGTCAACACTCATTATACAAAATGACTTATAAAATTATCATTGTAAAAATATAGAAGGTTAAAATTTRTTTTTCTTATGATTTATAATTATATTATTAATCATTTGATTATATATAAACAAAAGAAAAAAAATAGCTAATTTTTAAGTATCTGACAGCCAATCAGAATCTAAACATTTATAATATAAGTTAATTGTGGTAATTAATTATACTCAATACCCAATGACATTGGTCTAAGTAAACAGTATATTGATGATGTTCAATCAAAAAACAAATAGAACAAAAATGATCATGAAACGTTATGTAGATATAGTATAAAATATTATAATAAAAGTTTCCAATAATATTTTATTATGTTACTGACAACAGGTAGGTACGATTTAAAATAAAAACATTACATTTTTTATGTTTTTGAACGAATCATGTTAAAACGCTTAAAGAACATMAACTTCTCTTCCACAAGTCACAACCTTTAAAACTGTTAAGATTACAATTTCTACGGGCGGGCAGTAAGTTGTAGTCACCTGATCAGCRAAATGAACGGACGAAGTCGACGTGTTTAACAGACGATTGACGGGATAATGAATGTGGTTATTAAATTTAAATATAAATTAAAAAGTGTTGCTCAAACGAGTTAACCATAAAGATTGGAAATCACAATTAAAATTATTTACAAGTCGTGATCCGTACATGATTATAATTATTATTAAAAATTGCTAMTAATTACAATACAAAAGCGATATAGGTAATAAYAAATTTAAACTTTGAACGCACATGAGCGGCGCGGCGGCTCGTTGTAATCACAATAGAGAATAATTGTAATGTTGCTTGTAGAAAATATGTAGACTGTAGGATATAGGTATTCGCACAATCTCACTATAATATTTGTAGTTATTTTGGGTATAATGAATTAAGAATTATTGGTGACGGAGAAAACAGCCAACTGAGCCAACCTAAGCGGGCTGCTGCTGTCTGCTCTATAAGCAACGCACACAAAAATCAGCAGCAAATAAATACGTCATAACTCATAATATTTTATTATTATTTTGATTGATTATCTATTAAGCGGTCATCTCGTTATCAGTGTCTTCGCTTTAAACAGCTGCCGTTGGTCGAGATAACACTGTTTATTTTGGTATTGCCAAATATGGAGTGTTTGTCCGCGTAGCGCAGCAGTAAATGAGCATTACAGTATTACTATTACAGTCACAGTGCGTAGGATTTCCAGCATCTGCCTGGCCGTCCGCACCGATCTAGGCCAATTTCCTGGTGCGATTTCTGTCCGCGTGTCCAGAGGTTTCGTTCACATAATCGATGGAAGACATATTCCAGTGGTGCCGTGAAGGCATCGCCATGCAAGTGCGGGTTTGGCTCGATGACACTGAACACGACATGAACCACGGGTGAGTTAAATGTTGAACATTCCTCCACGGTAAGGTGGGCGGAATGTGATGATCATCAGACATTTTTACTCTTTGCTGTACGTTTCTAGGGACGATCACGGATTCAGTCCGTTGCACTGGGCCGCCAAAGARGGCCATCTGAAGATCGTCGAGATGCTGGTGCAGAGGGGCGCCCGCATAAATTCTACGAATCGAGGCGATGATACACCTCTGCACTTGGCCGCAGCCCATGGTCACCATGAAATCGTTCATCTGGTGTGTGTCTAACTATTTTGTTGYGTCTCCAAGTTTCTATGTTTGRTATTGATATAAAGTATAATAGCTAAGGTAGTGTTTCCTCGTGTTTTAGTTGTTRAAAAACCGAGCAGACATTAATTTCACAAACGAACACGGTAACACTCCATTACACTACGCTTGCTTCTGGGGCTATGAAGCAATAGCCGAAGAACTTATTGAAAATGGTGCATTAGCTGCTTTGGCTAATAAAGACGGAGACACTCCGCTAGACAAGGGAAAAGGACCAATTTTAAAACATTTAAAAGGTATTGAGTACTATTGTTGGTAAATGCATTTTTCTAACTATCATAACTGATAACATTAAAAAGTAAAAACMAATTGATTACAGATTTAGCCTTGCAATCTGGACAAGATCTTACTAAAATCAATTTYAAGGATCAAAGTTGGTTAGGTTTGAAAACGAGAAGCAGTAAGTTAATTTATTATCACAATATTTTTAAGTACAACATATTTATTTACTGTTATAAATTTAAAATAAGTTATGTGTTGAACT